TTTTTTTTTTATTTTGTTTATGCAGAAAGTACCATTCATCTCTGATGATTTGGACTTGGAATGTGAAGGAAAGGACAAATACAAGTGTGGTTCCAATGTCTTCTGGAAATGGTAAAGAAATCCATATATGTATTGTTTTTACTAAAACCATCTACTCTAGCACAACATGTATCTAATTTTCCCATTTAAGAGACTTTAATATCCATTTGTTCTCTTTTCTTTTTTTTTTCACATCCCGATTTCAGGAGATAATAATTAGAGAATAAACTGGAAAGAAACAAAAGATAAAATGAAATTAAATTGTTTTTCAAAACCTAAATGAGAAAAGGGGTAGAAGTTTCTGTTAGCAAAGTTTTATACACTCTTTTGAAGTGCATGATTATCATTAACCTTCAGAACCATTCAACTGATCATAAAAAATGGGACCAGTGACCCGGAAAATACCCAGAAAATGTTCTTGCTTTATGATGTTAAAACAGAATAATGCTGCAGAAACTAGGTAAACTGTTTCCAGATAAATCTTGCTTTGCTCTTTTGGTGCACGATAATGCTTGCTTTCATATATTTTGCAGTGGTGCCTCTGACATGCCCTGTTTATTTCATTTTATAATTTCCTTTAACAAATGTATAATGGCTTAAATACACTGATTTCCAACATTAAAGACCTACATGCCGTGGTACCTACAAAATCAACCCATTCAAGATGTAGGACAAGTAATGAATTGGGTGAAAACACAATTGAATGTAACTTTACAATACTGAAATGAATTATACGAGTTCTTTGTACATGTTCTCTGTCTATTGAGGACTCTAAAGATGTTAGGTTTTCTTTCCACGGGATCAGTGAACCTTTTCATGTACAACCTAAGCATTGTTGAGCAATAAATTTTCAAAGTATAAGATGAAATATCAAAAGAAAAGCCATCTTCAAAATCCAGTTATCACCAGCCAAATCGTCCACCCAAGCAAGTCCAACTGCCTCAGTAAATTATATCTTCGACAAAATTGCAGGATGCTAACACAATCAGCAGCCCCTCTAGTCTGCAGCTTTTGACACCCTAACTTCATATCTCCTCACTTGGAGAGAGAGGAAAATTCATATGAACAACCGTGGCCAACTAACCGTGTTGTGAATTGATTCACCTCAAAGTCCAATTTGTTCAAAGCATCCATGTGAAAAGAAATTTCAACCTAAAATTTCCATATGCACTCAGGAACTCACCACAAAATTGAGCCTACAGGCAGCATGGTGAAGAGCCATTGTTCTGCAACTGGGGACATGGCAATGGAAACACAGCACTGGTACAACCTGAAACAAACTCACAGTGCCATGTTGCAGTTGATGCAAGGCCAACTAGCGTAACATTCTTTAAGCATATCCCTTCAAATGAGGCACCCTGGACACCAGCCAGTACCGGAGCTTTTGTTGAATTCAAACTAAAAATATTACTGATGAATATCCCCTTTATTGTAGGGATAGCTTTACGATCCCATCCGTCATCAGGGTGATCATTGGAGCCTCTACTGAACCTAATGGGTATTTTGACTCGTTCCATTTTTATATTATTTATCGTGATATTTGCAATATATCCCCCTCTGCCCTTGTCAGTTTTTATGCGCACTCCAGCTGCCGAATTCCAAACATGCATATCTTCAATAGTTACATTAAAAATCCCACCAGACATCTCACTACCGATGCCAACACCAGAACAAGTTGGCGTAGTGCCTGAAATTCTCCTCACTGTAATGTTTGAGCTTGGTCGTGCCATGGTGATGCCATACTGGTCCCATCCACTCTTCACTGCTACAAGATCATCTCCACTCTCGATATAGCAGTCCTCAATACATACATTGGTACTTGAGTCTGCACAAATTATAATGAGAATGTTAGAAAAGATGCCTCCACTATGAGGTTTGAGTTGTTATAAGTTAGATGCAATGTGGAATAAAGTACACAAGAAGATGGAGAATAGCACTAACATACCTGGGTCTATTCCATCTGTATTTGGGGCATTAAGCGGAGCCAATATTGTCATGCCCTTAATAACAACATTGCTGAATAAAAAAGCAGAAAAACTAACAGTTAGTCTTTCTATTATAACGCTAATCTCAAAGAAAACTGTGAGAAAGGATTCACCAACCCAATTAATCATAATTTTTATGTTATTCGATGCCTGTATTACCCATAAAATTTAGGATACAAAACAGTAGTAATGGGAAACAAAACGCAACCTCAAGTTCTTTTCAGTATGTCCCATAAGCAATTTTGGGGTATAAATTATCAGAGAGAATTCAGAGTTGAGCGATCTTGAGATAATAATCTTCTATCAAGTACCATGACATGCATCTCATCTTCACACTGGAGCAAAAGAGGCTGACACTTCTGTTTACCTTGATAGAACTAAACACTAATGCTCGGAAAAGTAAACAAAACAAATACATAAAATGAGCTACAAGAAGCAAGAGAGGTCAAACCTGCAGTAAACAGGATGAATGGTCCAAAATGGAGAATTGAGGAAGGTTAGGTTGGAGATAAGAATGTTATGAGAGTTCATTAGTTCTAAGAGGTGGCCTCTTGTATGCTTTAGCGTTCTGTTCCACCATAATTCCCACCACATCCTACCTTGACCATCAATTGTCCCATTCTGTCCTACAAAACCAAAACAACTTATCACACATTCTTGAGAAATCCTTCTGATGCCAGACATGCTGCACAGACAAGTTTCATGGTAATAGTTGCCATAGTAATGCTAAACTTCTAAATAGCTAGCTGCTATGTGAAACTCAAGACATCAAGCTATTTGACTGCTTTTAAATGAATCCACCAACTAGTAGAAATAATAGATCAAAGTGTCAATTTAGATACTTTTGAGCTTTTCAATATAACACCTAACATGCATAACAAAAGCATTCATTTTGTTATCACCTATAAGCCCTAATTAGTTTAATCTAATTTGAGAAAGCAAAATGAAATAAATTCCTAGGCTGGCTGCAACTATAGAACCAGCCATAAACAATTTTTAGATCACAGTTCTTTTTTTCATGGAACTGCTTAAGATCCTCCCAATTTAAATGTTTATAATAAGAAGAAAATGTTTCTACCAATGGTCAAGTAAAAATATAAAGAATTTCTTTCAGAGGAATCAAACTGCAATATATTCATCCATAATGCCATATTCTGGTAGCTTTAGCTAATTCAACAACACAAAATTACATATGCTAGGAGATAAATGCAGAGCTACTTCACTCTCCATATAAATGCTATCAAGGTGAATTTGTGCTTTTTACTGTATCCTAGAAATGAAGAAAAAATTAAATTGAAACATCATTATTGATATTAATGATGGAGTACGATGAATGATTCCCGGCTGTCCACCATACTAAATTTAATGGCTATAAGCACTCAAGGGGAGTCCATTTACTCCTGAGTACAACAACAAGGTCAATGTGATTTCTCAGGCAATGAGAACATTTTCTTTTTTCTAAAGAGAGAAGTGTGGTTTATTTTTTAACTCACTAATGTTAAAGCAACTCTTCTTTCTCTTTCCATTTTTAATCATCAAAGCACCATAACAATGTCTCCAAACATGTTCTCCGAACGAATCAAAATAAAATCACCTGTGATGACAACATTGGTAAGACCATTTCCATGAATAAGGCTTATGTGTCTTCCTCCCAATCTCTCTCTCCCTCTACCATAAGAAGGCAGTGGCTCTACAATAGGCCATTCCTCTGGGACCTATAATTCATGAACACAAAAATTAAAAACCAGCAGTTTTAAGCAACTAATTAGAAAAAAAAAAAACAAAGAAATAAACGCAAGCATTCACAAATTTCTTTTTTCAAAATTTACTAATTAAAGACTAGAAGCATAGAAACATGATCAGCCACCTATCACCACCACTACATAGCACTTATGTCTAGCAAAAAGTTGATAAGAAATTAATGCGATGACCAAAACAAATTAGAAAGAACAACTAGTATTTCTCAAGTTTATTAAAAAATTGTTTCCAGATGACACACTGCTCATTTACTGGCTAGTAGGACTTACAAGTTTCTAATTCAATTATCTTGATTCAAACAACCCAAAAATTAAATATATCTTGATTTGCTCAAAGCATTCATGGCATTCTCTCTCTTCAATAGAACCAATGAAATCATACACAAGAAAACAGCTAAACCTAAATTGAAATGAGAAACGAAATATGTTTAGTGGGGCCCCATTAGTTGAAGTTGCACATCAGCAGCACCAACTTTCTTTCTCCTAAAGAAAAAACGCCATGAGAAAGATCAACACGCAGGGCAAACACGACATGAGCAAACCTAGCTACGTTTCAAACAATCACTAATAGAATCTGCCCTCTTTTTTCACCCAACTTTATGTAAAGCTCCTCTTCTTCTTTTTTTTTCACTTAATACAAGGTTCTTTTCTTCCCTAATTTTAAGCTGGGAGAGGGCAAGAATACTTCGATTACTAAGAGCAAAATACTGAAAGTTGTAGGAGAAGAAGAAACAATTTACACACGGGAAACAGAGTAGCCCACTCTGTTTTCCTATTTACAGCACGAACCCCAGAAAATGAGAGAACCATCAAAGAAACTCACATTCAATAAACATTTATCAGCCAACTTATTTCTTGAGATTCCAATTTAATCCCAAGAAATTAAACAACTTCAAAAAGACAAAAAAAAAAAACGGAGACTACAAAGCTTCCAACAGTTAAAACTTAAAAACTTTCAACTTGGATGTGTCAGGTTTGAATCAGCCTCTTATCAATAGTAAACAGTCTGCCACTTAATTCCGGACAATCCAATAAAACCCAACAAATTAAACCAAAAAAATTGAGAAACGCAAAATTAATTAATACAAACAGAGCATTTCTGACCTGAGAGCCCAAAATAACAGCACCCTGTTCGAGAAACAACGTGAAATTACTGGTAAGATTAAAGCTTCCCGTAAGCCACCTCCCTTCGGGCACATTGAGCTGAGCCCCACCTTTCTCACTAAACCGCTGCACGTAAACCAACGCCTTCCTAAACGCATCAGTATTTGACGTTTCCCCATCGCCAACTCCCCCGAAGTCCTTTATCGACATAACATGTTTTCTCCGGGGCAACTCCCCGAAAATCCCGGCGCAACTTCCGGGGTCGGAACCGGATGCGATGTCGGGCTGTTTCGGTGCTCCGGACACGGGGAATAGTTGAAAAGGAAGGATAGTTTTTGTGGAGATTTGAAGAGAGAGAATTGCTATTGCTGTAAAAAGAAGAACGAGGAAAGCCCATGATGGCTTCGAGAAGTAAACCAGTATTGCACCAAAATTTGGTTTCTCAGATTCCATTTTTGTTTGAGGAGAAGAAGAAGAAGAATAAAAAGAATCTGTTTGCACCGTTTAGAAAACAAAATAAAGATTGAATTTTGATTGCTGTAACTGAAAAGAATTACAGATTTGGATAAAAGAATTTGAATGGTTCTGATCATTTCGATTGCCTTTCATGCTTCACCAATATTTAAGGCCAAAAAAAACATAAAGAAACAACATTTCCTAATAAAGAAAAAAAATAGATGAAATTGAAGTTTGATTGGTTTTACATGCATGAAAAAATGTTTAAAAAAATAATAGAAATGAAGTAAAAAGTTAAAAAGAAAAAAACAAAAACAAACAGTAGGCTGTTTCCTGCATACGTGAGAAAGAAGAAGGTGAGGGATACTGCGCCCGCCGGTGTACTTTAAAACGTACCTTACTTCCATTTGCCATTTGCCGCTTGCCGCTTGCCGCATTGCGTGTTGTTATTTTATTCTTATTTTAATTATTAATTCTTAATAAACAAAAATGTGGGTCCAGCTTGGAAACTTAAAATATTATTTGCTTCGATCCGTTTTGTTCGGTATAACAGTAAGCCAATAACATGAAACATTGGACCAATAACTAACTGCCACGTAGAATTTTAAGTCTGCTCTTGCTACGTGGTGAGAGAGTGTTGGTTTCGGACTTGAGACAACGGCAAACGCACTCAGAATTTCCGCGTGTTCGCCGCTGATGGTGTGAAAGAGACGACGCCGCTCTTCACGGGGATTCTTTGAATTTTTTTTTTTCTTTTTCTTGTTTGTTTTCCCTCTTGAGGAGGATTTGTTGCTGTGTGTTTGCGGTGCACAAAAAGGGTTTGTGTTGGATTTTTTAGAAGCTAATGATGATCGTACACGTGGGACCCGATTATGGATTTGATCCATCGCCGGCAAGAGGGTATTAGCAAGCTCTTCCCCATTGATCATGCGTTAAAAATGCCTTTCGGTGGACGAGGAAGGACAAGAGAAAAAAGAATGCTTTGAAATTATTCCTTTTTCTTCCCTCTTCCTCTTCTAGTTTTCTCTTTTGCCTTTTTGTTTCTTATTATTATTTTTAATTTCTCCTGTTTTTTTGTTTGTTTTTCGATTTTCCAAGTTACTAGTTATGTCCGCTTTAATTTTGAGTTTCAAATCAACCAAATTAAAATACTACCTGAATTATATTTTATGTAATTATATAAAACTCAATTTGGTTGTTATTTTTAGATATAATATTTTTTAAAAAAATTAAATTATTTACAAAAATTCACTATCATTAATCAATATATGATCATGTACTATTTCACCATTCACATAAATATATTTTAAATAATATTATATAATTATAAAATAACAAGTGATATTTTAATTAATAATAATTAATTAACTTTTTATTATATTTAATCATATAAAGATATATTTGATACAAAATAAAAATATAATGATTTATTGTACGTAATAGAATGATAAATATTTATTTAAATTTTTTCAAATAATTCAATGACTTTTCAAAAAATTAAGCTTTATTTTCTTATTTTTCTCTTTTCAAAAGGATTGTTAAAACACAAAATATTAGAAACCAAACCATAATAATTTTTTACTAACCTTAATAATTAATTAAAAATAAACAAATCACTAAATTCGCAACATCAATCTTGCTCTAGCTTTATAAATTAAAGTCATTCTTAAAAGGTGACACGTTTAATTAATTTTAATATTATAAATATTATTGACCTTCATATCCAATTGCACTTTTTACTTATTATTATTAAGAACTTGTTTGATTTAAATTTTTTTTCAATTTAAAAGCTATTAAGAGTTTTTCAAAATTTTATTTAAGAGTTTTTTAAAATTTTATTTAGCTTGATTTTTACTTTTAAGAGATAAATAAATTTTAAAAAAATCGAACCAAACAAACATTGAAAAAACCACCAAGAACCAAAATTAAACAATTAACCAACCATATAAAGATGATCGTGTCATACATCAAGTTTAAAAATTTCACAAACATATTAACGTTTTGCATAACTGCAAAATATTCATTATAATTTTAGAGAACGTAACATATGTGCAAATTTCCTTACAAATTTCGTTCAGCATTATCCATTAGGAAAGACATCCTTAAATAATCATCTGACAAATTTGTATCCATTATTTATTAACGATATGTTAAACTCTCCTACTCTAAGGTCTTAAACCGAATCTTTCCTATTCTTATGTACCAAAAAAAAAACATTTTGCATAACTGCAAAATCAAAGGCAGCCTATAACCAAGCTAATTTACTGGGATGGTTGCAGTGAAGTTTAAAAAATGTATCGGTAAGGGAGGTGATTGCAATTGCGAAATGGGACGAGGGCAGCGAGGGAGGGAGAGCCTCCTCCTTGAGTGGCTTTTGGTAAAGCTGATATACCTGTCAATGTCCTTTTCCATGAATAGGAAGCTACTATTAAAATGTGTCTAAGATTGCAAAAGACAAAAATTGAACACCAATGATTCGTTAATTGCTAGTGCCATGTGTCTTTGCCCGGACAGATTGAAGATCCTTGGTGATGAATAATCCTCCACTTATCCAATTACATCCTTTATCGAGGCTCTTAAATTCTTATTATTTTGAGTCTTTCATATTAAAAATGGTCAAAATACTTATTAAGTTCATGTATTTATATATTTTGTTTGATTTAACTACTGTACTTAAAATCAAAACAATTTAATTCATTGATATTGAGAATCAATTTAATTTAGTCTCCCCCTCTAACAGTATTTAATTTTATCGTTAAAAGGATGATGTCAATGTTAACATCAATGCTAATATGGCACATTTTTTATGACGTGTCATATCACATAGTATTGACGTGATAACGTTACAATGCCATGTGGTACTAATAAAAATGACGTGATAATGCTGATGTAGCATTGATGTACTGACATATCAGTGATACGTGACAGATCAAATATTTTTTTAAAAATTTTTTTGTGCCATGTCACTAAATTGAACAAAAATATAAAATAGTGATTAAATTGAACAAAATTAAGATATTAAGAGACTAAATTGAAAAAAATATTTTAAAAATATAAATCTTTAAGTATACTTATTAATAAACCAAACTATTTAAATGTAAAAGATTTATGGTGTTAAAAAATATATATTTTTTCTTACTTGATTATTTGATTTTAGAATATGTAAATTAATTTATGTTTTTTTAAAAAATTAAGTTTAAATTATGTTTCTATAAAAAAAATTCAAAAAAATTTCATATCTAAAATAAAATTTAAATGAATAACTTACATTATATTAGAATAAAATAATATAAAAGGATTAAATAAATTATTTTTTTCTATTTATAATAATATAAAAATTTAAAATTTATTTGACTTATTTTTTAACTTGAGTTGAACTTAAATTAGCAAAATAAGTTGATTTAGTTAAAACTTTTACAATTTATAAATACTTATTCTTATAGAATTATTCAACCCTTACTTAATTTATGTTTTATTTTAAAAAATTAACTTTTATTTAAATTTACTCAAAATTTTTTAAAAAATAATTTTATTTAAGTTCAAATGACACAATCAAATTCTGTTAAATTTAAATTTAAATTATTAATTTGAATCTATAAAAATTTTATAAATATAAAATAAAATTATACAAATATTTTCAATTATATTTAACTCTATTAACCATAAATGCAGTCTTTAATCTAAGAAATTTTCACCTAAAAAGATAACCTGAAATATTAAATAAAATAAAAATATAAAAAATAAATAAAAAATTAAAAAGGTGCAGTAGCTTAGATTCTATTGTTGTAATAAGAGGTTTATCATACTTAAATTAATTAAGTCATAACAAAAAATTATTTTTATAATTATCGCTAACTCCATATCTCTTTTTTTCATTATTTTAAAAGAAAAAACTAAATTAACCTATTTTGCTAATTTGAGTTCAGCTTTAAAAATTAAATCAAATAAATTTAAAATTTTTGTACTACTATAAATAAAAGAAAAAAATTATTTAATCTTTTTATATTATTTTATTTCAATAAAATACAAGTTATTTATTTAAATTTGACTTTAAGTATAAATTTTTTTCAAAATTTTTTTGTAAAAGGAGAATTCAAACTTAATTTTTGCAAGAAATATAAATTAATATATATATTATAGAATCAAATAATAAAGTAAGAAAATATATATATATTTTTTAATACCATAAATCTTTGATACTTAAATATTTGACTTATTAATAAGTATATCTATTATCTAATTAAAGATTTATATTTTTAAAATATTTTTTTAATTTAGTAGCTCAATATTTTAATTTTGTTCAATTTAATCCATAAACTATAAATTTTTGTTCAATTTTATCTATGATGTGGAATAAAAATTTTATTTAAAAAATTTTTGATCTACCATGAAGCATTGGCATGCCAACATGTCAACGTCACGTTAACATTGACACAGCATCATATTAGTACCATATGACATTACCACATCATTATGTTAGGTGCCATGTGGTATTATGTCATCAAAATGTGTCACGTTAGCATTGGCATCAATACTGATGTCATTTTTTAACCGTAAAATTAAATATAGTTAGAAGAAAAGGTTAAATTAAAATAATTTTTAAAATTAATAAATTAGAAGAAAGAGTATATAGATTAAATTGAACAACAATACATAAATATAAAGACTTAATAGGTATTTTGTCTCATTAAAAATGAAATATATCCTTTTTTGTCATTTTTTTTATGTTATATGGCTCTAATTAGAAAATGAAAATATACTTTTTATTAAAATTAAAAATGGGAGTGGCCAATGAAAGTCATTGCTTTGAGCTCCACTAGCCATTCGCAGAATTTGACGTACATACATTCACACATGTGCATCAAATTATAAAGAATGTGGAACCAAAAGGGCAACTTTGTCAGCACTAAAGAAGCAAAATGAACCAAACAAGAAAAGCAGACCCAGGTTGACCGAAGAGCATTAACCTTACAAGCATGTGCAGTAGATTGTTCCCCCCTCTTTTTGTTAATTATGAAGTTTGATTTGAGCTCATAGAAAATATGCCTGGACCAGAGGCGGAGGGGGGCTGGGTAGTAGGTGTCCCCTTCCCTCTTAAAATTTTTAAATTTAATAATTTTTTATAAAATTTTTAAATTTAATAATTTTTTATAAAATTTTTAAATTTTAAATTTTAATTTTTAAAAAATTTTATAATTTTATTTTTATAAATATTAAATTTTTTATTTTAACCTTCTCAAACATAAAATTCTTCTGAACCGACCACTGAATTGGAGGACATATTCCGAAAATAATAGGAGAAATGGGTTTCTGTTAGAGAAGAGGAAAGAATGACTCTTCTTTTGCTCTTTAAAACGGGATATGGTAAAAGCCTTCGGTAAAAATCAAGGTACAATGTGTTCTAGTTGAGTCAATCATGTGTGATATGTGACAAAATGGGTCTCTCACTCTTGACGGAACATCATTTGCTTCGTACTCTGTCGTATAATTATTACCTCTACGGGTCTAGACTACCCGCTAGGCCCTTAAATTCGAGCTTAGATTTTAAGGCTTCAGCCCAATCAGATTTGATTAAACTGCTTTGATTACGTAGTTGGATGTGCTATATTAATTTTAGCCAAAGAAATCTATGTATCTACCTCCATAAAAGGGGAAAAAAAAAACTATGTATCTATATGTACGTATAAAAGTCAATTTACACAAAAGTAAGACTAAGATTATGAAAATTTAAAATATTTTTTAACTTCATTTATATTTTTTGAAGAAGACATTAATGGTTACATAAAATATTTTTTAAAATAAAATGTAATTAGATGGCTTCTTCCTTTATCATAAGCTTATATATATATATTTATACCATATATAAATACGGTTTGAAAGGTGTGAAAACTTATTTTTTGAAAATTATATTAACTTTCTAATTTTAATCGAATTTCAAATATATTAGCCTTTTTTAAGGATCAAATGTATTGGTTTATTAGGTATAATATATAAAAAAAATCTTAAACTATTTAAGAACTTTCAAATAAGCTTTTATTCTTTTATTAAACTTAATCAAGTCATTATAGTTTTATTTTAAATCAAATAATGAATGTAACTTATCATTAATCTATATCATGTGGTAATCACTTGGTATGTTGATTAGTTCTAATGAATGATGGTTTGATATATTATATGACATGAACTCGTAATATTTTTACTTTTCATATCAATATCACATGAATATAAAAATGATAGTTGAAATTTAGATTGATGGTAATTAATTAATCGTTAGTCATAAAAATTTATTTAGTTAAAAATAAAAATATAAATATTTGATTGAATGTAATAAAAGAATAAAACTTTTGAAATTTTTAAAGTTTGATGTTATTTTATTATTATTAAAAAATTATAGTAATTGTTAGAGTCCTTATTATATTAAAATAAAAATATATATAAAAATTGATAAAAATTTAAATAAAAAGTAATTATTTTAATAAACTATTTAAAATTTAAACAAAAATGTTAAAACTTTTGTGTCCCCTCACACTTTCATTAGTCTGTCAATTACTTTAATTATTAGCATAATGTATTGTATTCATCAAATTGATTAGATTAATTATTTTTTTCTAGAATATATATATATATATATATATATGTAATTTCCCATTTATGGCAATAGGATTTGCTTTAGTTGACGTTGACGAAACGATGGGTATGATTTGTTGCGCTTAGACCTTGACTGGTGGCGTAGTAAATACGCTCGGCTCGTTTCTTGGAATTGGGGGGTGGGTGCAAAGTTGACCGGAGCTCGAATCCAAAGGACGTTTCACTCGGCCCTCCAAGAACTTTCCCTCGCCGGCTTTTTTCACTCCTCCATGGAAAAAAAAAGGCTCACTTGTTCCCACCACAATAGAAGCCCCACTTTGCAATACAATTACCAATATACCCATACAATTACCACGGTTAAGGAAATTTTTGGTACCATTTCATTTTCATGGAATAGGGGTAAGGATGTGAAGTATGCCAATAATTTCCACATGCATATCCTTTTAGCTATTAAATTCTCTGTTGGTTCCTGACTTCCTGTCCATCTACAGAGGGATTCTAAATTATAAATGCATTAAGAAATTCATTTATTATCCGAGGGAAAACACCGAAGAGTTTGGTAATTTGGTACAAAGAGGAAGGGCAATTTTGACAATTTGACAATTTGTAGGTCCACTCTGGTTTGATATCTAACGCCATCCTATAATTACTCCACAAGCTTCTCCTCTCCATCACACAACTATTCCTTGATGAATCAAAGGCAAAACAGATTGAATTGACTAATCTTCTTGCTAATGGATAGAGAGCAGGAAGAGCTTCAGTTTCTGGGTTTCTTTGGCATACTGAAAGAATCCTTCAAAATCATATTTTCATGGAGAAAAATCTTCAGCCAAATAACTCTAGCCCTTATTTTCCCTCTCTCTTTCATCTTCCTAGCTCACATACAAATCTCTCAGCTCCTCTTTATAAACATCTTGAGAGACCAGGACGCCTTGAATTATACCAGAGTTGGGTCTTCCAGGTATACCAAGCTGTCTGATATACTGTCATCCGAATGGACTGCGTTTTGGCTCTTCAAAGCTGCATATTTCACTTTCCTTCTCATCCTCTCGCTTCTCTCAACCTCAGCTGTTGTTTACACAATTGCATGCATCTACACAGCCAAGGAGATCTCCTTCAAGAAGGTCATGAGTGTTGTGCCCAAGGTTTGGAAACGACTTGTTGTGACTTTTCTCTGGAGTTTCACCATTGTTATGGTCTACAACGTCATTGCTGCAGTCTTGTTACTCTCGTCGGTTGCTTTCCTAGGACTTAGCAACGTTGGAGTCGTGATTTTTGTTGTTCTCTTCATCTTATACTTATCAGGATTCGTTTACATCACCCTCGTTTGGCATCTGGCCAGCGTTGTTTCAGTGTTGGAAGATGTTTATGGGATCAAAGCCATGATCAAGAGCAAGGCCCTGATAAAGGGTAAGATCGGAGTTGCAGCGGCCATGTTTCTTCTGCTTGTCCTTTGTTTTCTTGGGATTCAGTTGCTGTTCGAGGGTGGTGTGGTGTTTGCTCCGGTGAGCACTGAAATCAAAATTGTGATTGGAATCCTTTGCTTCTTGCTGCTTTTCAAGGTTATTCTCTTCGGGCTTGTTGCTCAAACAGTCATCTATTTTGTCTGCAAATCCTATCACCATGAGAATATAGACAAGTCTTCTTTAGCAGATCATCTCGAGGTTTATCTTGGGGAGTATGTTCCTCTCAAGGCCAAGGATGTCCAACTGGAGCAATTCCATGTGTAAATTGTATTTAAACTTGTTCTTTATTAACTAAATTTTGCGTTTTACTTCTCTTTCTTAAGAAAGAGCTTCTGTGTTGGAATTTAATGGTTTGAGTTGAATTATTGGAAGAAAGATAGTACAACTGCATTTATACTTATAAATTACTTCTATTAAAATTAATATCTTATGGGCCCCAAAATTTGACTATTGCATTAGCTTGGTGCATGTAAGGGCAGCATTGAATGAATTACATGTACCTTGACAAAATTTCTTCAAAGTACTTATCACTTGTACATGAACATCAAGTCATTTTTAGCCTAACAGGCCCCGATTTAACATTGTGATTTACAACCATTCTTAAATGGAACATTAATCTTTATTTTTCCTTTTAATGTTGATTTAATGCTCACTAATAATATGTCTACTTTTATCTGGTCGACCCTTTTTTTATGGCTATTGCCTAACCAATTCTCGAAGCGGTCTTAGCTTTCTTCCAATATTTGTATATCAGTTAAACCAAGTTCTTGTGTAGTACTATTTAAATGAGAATTTCTCACTTCAAAATCAAGGTGTAGAGATGTTCAACCATGCTGACATGCAAAGCAATCAAGTTAGTTGCAGAGCACTATTAATTTTTGTTATTTTTGAATGGGCACAATGATATGATTTATAAATAAATTAAAATGTCATGGATGATTATATCTTTTTTTATTCGGAGACAGCGTCAAAAAATAAAAATATTGCCACTTCAACATTTTCTTAATTTCCAATGAGTTTTTTCTACCATTAAATGCTCATTTGAAATATTTGAAATTTATTAAAATTTTTTACATAATACCTAAATATCTTTTAAATTTTTCAAAAAATTCTTAAATAAATTTTAATTTTTTTATTATGATCAATCAAATCATTGTATTTTTATTTTAAGTTAAATAAACTCTTATAACTAATGATTGATTAATTATTATTAGTCAAAATGTTATTTATTATTCTATATTAGATGACTTTGACATTAGATACTGATATGTTATAATCAGGAGCGAAGTTAGAGCATTTTTAAAGGGGGTCAAACAAAATAAGATACTAAACAGTCAAAGAGAACTTTATATATAATTCAATTCTTATTCAACTAAAAAATTAAATTAAATTAAATTCGCAAAACATTAAACAAACAAAAAAATGCATATTAACGATAATGATGGTTTCATGTATATATATATGACTGAATGAAACTATGAAATGAGTCACTCTCACTCTTTGTGCCAAAAGTAGAAGAAAACAATTTTCAAACTCAAATAAATTACCTATTTACTTTGTGTGTTCTACACGAAATGGATAGAAAAAGCTCTCATCTTATTTTTTATTTACTTCTTAAATTACTAATTAACGTATTGGATTATTAAATTGAATAATTCAAATATAATATACTATAATAGGCTATTGGGTTGAACTGTTAATATATAATATGTTAGACTTAGATTTTTACTAAAATTTAGTGGGTTTGGGTTAATAGGTTAACTTTTATTATTATTTTTTTAATTTGATAGGCTTAATATATTAAGTTATAATTTATTTATTAAGCTTAACTAGCAATATGCTGGCCATGATGACTCTAGTTTCATCAAATGGTTTGATGAATAAAAATAATTATTAAATAAAAAAATTATTTTGCAAGTCATTAAAAATATATATATAATAAATAAAGTTGTATTGAAAGAAATCAAAATATTTTTTTATCAATTTGTATGTATATCCTTGTTACTTAAAGTTTACAAACAAACATGTCAGAATGTATTGGTTATTTTGAATAAAAAATGATATATTAATGAAATTTTAAGTAATAGTGTAACATTGTAACTTATATTTGAGAATTACATAATAATTTATTAATTTTTAAATATTAAAATCATAAAACATAAAATCTATATAACAGAAAAAAGAATATGATAAGTAGAAGATAGAACCTACATATAACAAAATTAAAAAAAATATGGTTGATGGTTCGTAGAAATTTGTAAAAGAAAATTTATAGAGTTTTAGAACATATGAATAAATAGAATAGAAAAAAATATATAAAAATAAACAAAATAATATAAATTGAAAGAAACAAATCAAAAAAGAATTTTAAAATTGAGTTAGACAAATGGAATCATTTTGTTATCCTCTATTTGTATTAATTATTAAATAAAAAATTATTTTGAAGCGAGCTATTGGGAGAATTTATTAAAAAATTAAATTTTATAAATTATGAAAGAAATTTTTAAAATTTTTGGGGCCCATGGCTCTTCATTCCTTCAGGAGGCTCTATCCATGGTTATAATAAATAATGATATGATCATGACATTTTCATCTTTTATATAGTATCATGTGAACAGAAAATGATAAATGACATTTTGATTATAAACAATTATCAACCACTAATCATGAGGGTTTTTTTTATTCAAAATGAAGTAAAAGAATTTGATTAAATGAATAATGATTTATTTAAATTTTATTAAATAATTTTAATTTTTTTTCAAATATCATATCAATTTTTTTTCAAAGTTCAACTTAATATTACTTTAAAGATTTGATGCAAGATTTTCAATTTTATTAATTTTAAAAAAATAATGATAAATAGTTAATACTTACCTTAATAGGATGAATGGATTCCAATCTATATTTATTAAGGTAAAATACCTAAACTTTTAAATTTTAATTAAAATTTCACGTTAATCTATTAATTTTCAAAATAAATATGAAACTCAAAAGTGCAAATACCGTTAACAGAAAATAAAAAAGAACTAAAATACCATTTGTTCTTTATTTTTTTTCTCTCAAACAATGTGGCCAGTCAGTGTGCTCTCATTCGTCGATCGACCACCCCATGGCCAGTGTTGTGCTCCCTAAAGCCTAAATTTTTTTTACAAAAAAAAATGAAATTAAAAATATAATTTATATAATAGTAATTTTTAAAATTAACAAAAGGTAAATTTATATTTTTAATATTACTATGTCATCAAACTAACAAAAATACTAATGGTTGGACCTGTATGTTCAATGGAAGATTTTTTTAAGGATAAACTGTTCAAAATCTAATAGACCCGTGTGAAATTATAGTTCAAATTTATAAAATTCTAAGTATTTTACCTTATTTATTAAGAACACATGACAATTGTTGATTGCATTAAAGATAATCATTAATTTCTGTCATTTTTTTAAAATAAATAAAATGGAAAAATTACATCTTTGAAAAAATAATAATAATAGATTGAATTTTCTTATGAATTTATATATTACATGAAGATATTACATTCATGACCAAATAAGTTTTACTATGTATCAAAGTATTTAGCTTATTAGTTGGTATATGATCCGCTACTTAAAGAGTAAGGTTTGAATACCTTTTCCTCCAAGTAAACAAAATATAAATAATTTTCACTATATATCAAGTAGTATATCTATAGAAGAAATTTAAAAACAAACCAAACAAACAAACCTAATAAAATTAACTTAAAATTAGATTAAACTTACACATACTAATGCTTGAATTTGAGATTTAAAAGTTTTAGAATTTTCTTGTTGTCATTAAGAAAAGATCTCATTGACATAAATTAAAATTTAAAATCTATATTATTAAATAAAGTTAATTCATGAGTTTAATATCATGACTTAAGAGATACCAATTTAATTATCAAAATTATTTAAAATTTAAAATAAATCATAACATCATATATTAAATTAAAAACATCTTTGTAATTTGGTTGTTTGAGTCAAGATCTGCTCTTGAGGTTGCATTTGAAATGTTGCAAAGAATGTAATTACTCGGAATGTGATTATTAGGTATGTGATTACTGATAATATAATTATTGAGAAGATAACTTTGTAGTGTTTGGTATAACATAAGAAAGTGATGATTGCAATAAATGTGATTGTTGAGAAAATTATATTGTCAAGTTTGGTTTAAAAGCATTTTACTAAGAATGTAGTATAAATTTATAAAATTATCCTTATATATAAAAATATAAAATTAAATAAATTTATAATTTTTAATATAAAATTTTAAATTTTTAACTTTATCCTTAAAATAATAAATAAAAATTTGATAAAAATAATATAATATTTTAATATTAATTATTTTAATATTAAAATATATAAAATTACCAAATATTTAACTTAAAAGTGTATATTTGTCTAACCTATTCTCTGAACTTTCCTTTTTTCACAAGAAAGTCACTTTCCCTCCTACCCAAGAGGGAATCGTATTCCCTTTTGGTCTTACAATATCATTTATTATAATATTATTACATTACAAAAATACCACACCAAATATGGTATTGTGATTACATCTAATTAAAATACTTGTAAAGTGCTTAATAGCATGTTTGATATAGGGTATAGCTAAGCTCTTCCATGTCTATTCTTATGTTTTTTTTTTTTTACCCTTGTTTTGTAAGCAATTGTTTAAAGGAATAATTATTCTTTAGTATTAGCTATTCTTAAAAAATGGCTAAAACTCGGGTTAATTAAACCCAAGCCTCCTATGGTATTCGCTATTTCATGGTTAAAAAATAGTTTTTAAATTTGATAAGATTAAAATGTCCCTTATAACTATAAAATATTACAAGACATAAATACTTCTTTTTCTTCTCATTTTCACTTCTTCTTTCTCTCTTTGCTCTCATTCTTGCTTTTTTCCTTCTCTCTCTAACTTGCACTCATCACTAGAGATTATCATGGTAACGACGAACGATGATAGCAACGGCAAGATTTAGTGCTTTTTGGCAAGACTTAATTGAAGAGTCTCGGATATGGGATCCACGACTTGATTTGGTTGTGAGAAGCATTGGATTTGGTGACTAGATCCCCACTGTCAGATTTGGCACTCCATGACCAGATCTAGTATCGGAAAGCACGTATTTGGTATTTGAGTGGCCAGATTCGGTCACATGGTGAGCTAGATCGATGTTTAATTACATCAGCCACATTTCTAATGACCAGACCATGGAAAAGAAGAAAAAATAGAAAAAATATAAAAAAATTTAAAATAAAAAGTTACAAATGTATTTATAAATTATAAAAAATTAATATTTTTAAATATTAATAAAATATTAATATTTTAAAAATATTAATATTTAACTTATTATATTATCAACGTATTAAATTTTTAATGAAAGTATAAATAAAATATAAAAAAAGCAAATAGAGAAAAAATAAAAATTATAAATAAAATAAAAAATAACTATTATTATAATAAAAAGTTTTAGTTTTTAATTACATATTATAAAAATTAATATTTTAAATTTAGAAATTAATTAAATTACTAATATTTTAATCATAATAATATTAAATTATAAATAAAATATTAGTATTGAAAATATTAATGATTAAATTATAATAAAATAGTAATATTTAAAATATCAATATTTAAATTATTAATTATTAATAGTATAATTAAATTATAAATAATTAATATTTAAAAAATAAAATAAATATTAATAATTATATATAAAATAAAAGATATTTTTTATTTTTTATTTAAAAACTATTATTATTAACCAAACATTGTAAGAAATTATAATAATTATTTTTATCTTATTTTTTTATTATATCAAATTACATAATAATTATTTTATTTTATTTCTATATATTTGTGAATAAAAGGAATCGTAAATTTCCCCCTACAAAACCGGGCTTAAAAAGTTCTAAACTTCAAAAGGACGTAGTACTTGCAGTCGTCGGTGAGGAAGAAACATAAGGCCCAAGTCTTAATGGGAGTCCTTGTGCTGGAATTATCACTCGACATTCTCCGATGGCAATGAAATTCAAATATTCAATGCAAAAGCGGGAAAAGGCAGTGCACTTAACTTTTTGGAAGAGCCCCCTTTAATTATTTGCTATATTCAATTTTGCCCCCCATACTTCACTCTCTTTGATTTTTCTTTTGTATATATAATCCACGCCCAACTAAACAATTCGTGGGACATTTTCATCTTTAAACAGAAAGAAATGGCGGACAAAGAGAAGAGCAGTGTTCGAAAGCCTCTAAGCTTAAACGACAGCCACTATCGTTTCCTGCAAGATTTCTCTGCTCCTCCCAAAGCCATCCCTAAACCCTCATCCTCGAGTACTCTACTCCCTCCTTTTTTTTTGGGTTTTTAAAGTAACAATTTGGGTTTAGTTCTTAAATGGGTTTCTCTCTCTCTCGTTTGGCCTATGTCTTGATTATTGATTTGATTGTATTGCTTTTGCAGAAGAAGGAGAAGAGTCTGAGGAGGAGACATTCCAAGTACGACGTCGTCTTTGCAAACAAACCCATAAAGATGATTCTATTCCTCACTTCTCTGGAATCACTGATTTTGATTCTCCTATTGGTATTTAAACTAGATCTGTTTTCCTTTTAAATGTTTACTTTTTTTTCCCTCTTTTGTTATTTGTCGGGTTTTGAATTTCCTCATTTGTAAAATGGGTTTTGATTTTGATCAAGTAGAAATTTGGAATAGGGCGTTGGAGCTTGGCATTTTGAGTATGGATATATGCAATTAAATTGAGCTACTTTCTTAGGTGCGGTTTTCATTTTCTTTTCTAGGACATGAAAATTTTTTCTGTTTACATGCTTTTTTTTCTTCTTTTTGTTTGACGGGTATTGATTTTCGTTTCTAAAAGATAGTAATACCCGGATATGGTTTACATGTCTTTTTTTTCCTTCCCTTTTTCTCTTGCTGGTTCAGATTTCCTTTTATTTTTTTTTCTGAAAGATATATGTTTGGTTTTTTTAATGAATTGATTTCAGAAGAAGAACCAAAGCCTGCAAAGGTAAAAATTGAGGGTAGGCGTCGATTGTGTAAAATCTTATCTCAAGATGATGGGGATGCCGGGAAAACATCAATTCTTAATGAACCTAATTTTTCTGAAATTTGTGATTTTGATTCACCTTTACCAACAAGGCACGTGAGTGAGGGTGGAAGTCAAATTAGGGATATCTTAAATGACTTGAGCTCCAAGCTTGAGCTTTTGTCTATAGAGAAAAAGGCAGCGCCCCCCAAAAAAATTCCAGAATATGCTAGTGCTGAGTCTTCATTTTCTGGTTCACCTGTTCCATCTGATTCCTCATCAGGTGTGATTGTGACTAAGAATGTTGGAGGTGGTGTTCAGGATGTGGTTGATTTGTGTGAAAATGAGGTTGATTTTTTTGAGAAGGTACATAAAATCAATGATACTAATAGTGTAGGATTGATGAAGAAGGAATCAAACAGGGTTGATGAGAAATTGGTGTCTGCAAGACAGTCTTTTGAGTCAAATGTTGAGGAAGAAGAAGAAAAGAGTGAATTGCAGGGTGACTTTGGGGATGGCACTCTTGTTACTAGGGTACATGAACCTAAAAAAATTTTTCGAAGGCTAAAGAAGAGTGAGCCCAAAAATGTGTATGAGCGGTTGCAGTCTTTGGGTAGATCTTTTGCATCTAAATATGGAGAAGAAGAGGATGATGATGATCAATCTGAGGAAGGTGATGAGCTGGAAGATGACACCTTATCAGAGGGTGACCAGCCGTTTATTTTGAGTGGCCCAAAATCAACCTATAAGCTGCCGACTAAGATTGTGAAAATGTTGTACCCGCATCAGCGCGAGGGCTTGAAATGGCTTTGGTCTTTGCATTGCCAGGGTAAGGGTGGAATCTTAGGGGATGACATGGGCCTGGGAAAAACAATGCAGGTAAGAAAATGTATAAATTTTTTTTAGATATTGTCGTATAAGTATTATTCTTAATTTGTTATTTTGGTAGATTTGTGGCTTTCTAGCAGGTTTATTTCATTCAAAGTTGATTAAAAGAGCTTTAATAGTTGCCCCCAAGACATTGCTCTCTCATTGGATCAAAGAACTATCTGTTGTAGGCCTTTCTGAGAAGACTAGAGAGTGAGGTTTTTTGACTTTAAATTTCTTTGTATTCTTTGATGTCAAAATTCATATCCAAATAGTTTGAATAATCATTTATTTGTGCTTTTGTGTAGGTACTTTGCAACTTCTTCTAAAACTCGGCAATATGAGCTCCAATATATACTTCAGGTCAGAGCTGCTTATTTAGAACCCACTCATGATACTGTATATAGAAGTACATCATATTCTGCATGTAAAATAGAGAGCATAAGTGTAATGTTAAGATCAATTGGAATTTTAATGAAGCTAGCTTTTTGCAAGTTTTTTGATCTGGTTCAACTTTGGTCAATTTGAAAGTTTATTTGATTGGAAGTTTTTGGATGTTCGAGATTTTTTTCTTCATTTATGGTGTTACTGTTTACTTTGCACACATGCTTTCATACCAAAATGACTGCAATTCCTTTTTTTAGCTTGTTATTGTGCACCATATTAGTGTTTCATTGGTTTTTCTTGTATCTTATAGGACCAAGGTGTTCTTCTAACAACATATGATATTGTAAGGAACAACCATAAATCTTTAAAAGGAGAAAGTTACTACAGTGATGACGATGATGAGGATGGTATCATTTGGGACTACATGATTCTTGATGAGGTAGATATTGCAATGCGATTTGTAATTCAGAATTTTTAGGCTTTGGTTACCTAATAAAATTTATGGAATTTCTAACTTTTGTGACGGGCAAAGATTCTTTTTTTGTGGGGTTCTTATTCAAAAGCTGTTGAATTTGCAAAATAGGATAAATCCAATGAACATATTTAAGATGTTTTATTTTTTTGTCTCTTGCATACTCATTATCTTGATTGGTAGAAAATGTGTACATGCCAACTCACACAACTTATCTCTTTTACAGTTTGCATTTGCTTAATATCTTATTTCCTTCTGAATGTTCAGTTGTCTTTTTTTTAAGTGCATAATGTTCCTTTAGATGACTTGCATACTGCATTACCACTCCAGGGGCATCTCATCAAAAATCCTAGCACCCAAAGGGCAAAAAGTTTGCTTGATATACCAAGTGGTCATCGGATAGTCGTAAGTGGCACACCAATTCAGAACAATCTTAAGGTACTGTTTTTGGCATTAATCTTCATTTGTTTTCTATTCCATAGGTACTGTATGTTAGTTTTATGCTACAAGCAAACTTCAGATTATGATATTCCACTTTGTTTTTGCTTTTTGTTACCTTGTATTAGGAACTATGGGCCTTGTTCAACTTCTGTTGCCCTGAGCTACTTGGTGATAATAAATGGTAATTGTTTTCTTCATGCTTTACTTCAGTTTATTTTGTTTCTTCTTCTTCTAACTTAAGTTCTGTTATTCTCTCAGGTTTAAGGAAAGATATGAACATGCTATTTTACGTGGAAATGACAAAAATGCCTCAGAGAGGGAGAAGCGTGTTGGCTCAACGGTTGCAAAGGTATTGTTTTAATTTTCATTGCCGGATTAGAATGTGCTTAATGACTCAAAATCTTGGACATCTTTCTGTTGCTATTCTGATGTTAAATTCAACTTACTTTTCTGTGAAGATGCAATGTTGCAGTAATTGCTTTATCAATCTTTAGATTCCTGACCATCCATGTATTACTTACTTGCTCAATTGCTTGAGTACACATCAATCTTTGCAGCCTCCAGTCTCACTGGATTTGCTTTGTAAGAAGTTGATTTAAAGTCAAATTGCTTTTTTGCGAAAATGCTGTGTTGCAAAACCAATTGCTACCTAAATTGTTACTTGCTTAATTTGCTTTAGTTCATGTCAATCTTTGCTGCCTTCATTCTCACAGGACTTACTTTGTGAAACAATGTATACAGTCAAGTTTTCTATGTAAGATCCTGGAAAAATCTGATAGAATATAAATGCTGAAATTTTTGCTGATGTTGCAAGGTAATGGATCATGGTTCAGGTCAAATTAATTAGTGATATAATTGCAGTTCAGGGAGTCTAATTCACTTTGTTTTTTAATGCTTAATTTCATGTGTTTCACTTCCATCTTAACTTTTATTCTTAAAGTGTCCTTTATTTAGGACCCATTATGCATACCCGTTGCTTGTTCTTGTTTTTTCTCCAGTTATGGCCATTGAGAAGTTCTTGAAATGCAAGATTTTTTGCCCTGTTTTTCCTCTCTACATAGGAGCTAAGAGAACGTATTCAACCTTACTTTTTACGCCGGTTAAAGAAAGAGGTATTCTGTGAAGATGATGCCACAACTGCCAAGCTTTCTAAGAAAAATGAGATCATTGTGTGGTTAAAGTTGACTGGTTGCCAGGTGTGAATTCATTAAACTTGTTTTTTTAATTTTTTTCTGAATGATGCTCCTGGTTGTGGATTTGCTAGTTTTTCTGATCATCTCATTGTTATTCCTGTCTTCTCTTTAGCGCCGACTGTATGAAGCCTTTTTGAAGAGTGAGATAGTTCTCTCAGCTTTTGATGGCTCACCTCTAGCTGCATTGACGGTACCGTGTTCTGTTTAATTTTTGCCTTCTCCTGTTGTTCTTCCAGCTTCTTTTTAATTTTTTGTGTTCTAGATTGTTTCATTACGCACTGGTGTGCATGTGCATGCACCTGTTTTCTGGGTAAATGTGTCTATCAAATTTTGAAACTATGCTTTTAAGATTTTGGAGGTCTATTTTGTAAGGAATAGTTTTCGGGGATTTTGGTTGTCATTCACCTTTAGAGTTGTATGCTTCAAGTCTGATTAAATGCCCAAGGATAATACCACCTTTACAATAGTTATACCTTGCCGTGCTGAAATTTCAGCTGTGAGAACCTATTTAATGTTTGTTAATGAGAACTCAAAAGAATTGTTTTTCTCTTCTCAATCTGTTTGAGAGGTACAAGGAAATTTAATATCTCCTTTTGAAGAGAAATGGTTCTTCTACAATGCTTTCAACTGGAGGATTTACCTTCCATTGCAGTTGCTTGCCCTGAATATTTATATTGAAATGGAATTTTTTTTTAGGCTATGTACATGTTCGGTAAGAATTTATTATTTCTCAGATTCTGACAAGAGAAAAGTTTCATTTCTAAAGTAACTTATCTTTTTTGTCTATCTGCACTTTCCAGACTTTTCTGGTCATATTCGAATTATTTATGATGCGTTATTGTTCCATTAGCTATTATTTTTATGTGGCCTAGCTGAAACAGTTTGTGTGGTTGCTTATGCAGTTGTAATGTTATTCCCTTTTAGTCTTTGTATGAGGTAATAAGAAAAATTGCCAATTGTTTGAAGCAGATTCTGAAAAAAATATGTGATCACCCACTTCTCTTGACAAAGAGAGCTGCTGAGGACGTACTGGAAGGGATGGATTCAATGCTGAATTCGGAAGATGCTGGCATGGCAGAAAAGTTGGCAATGCATGTTGCTGATGTTGCTGAAACAGATGACTTTCAAGATAATCATGACAATCTCTCATGCAAAATATCTTTTTTACTCTCACTTTTGGTTAGGCTCCAGTTACATATAGATTTTTTTTTGGTTTAAACTACTTGTAGATAGATTGATGCCATGGGGTAATAATCTTGTTTACAAGTCTAATGCATTTTATGCTATTTTGCAGGATACTTTAATTCCAAGGGGCCACCATGTTCTTATATTTTCTCAAACCCGTAAAATGCTCAATCTTATCCAGGTTTTCTTCAAGACCTTGACTTTCTAGCACATGTTCCTTTGGGGACATCATGTTGTCTACCTGTCAAAGCTTCTCATAGTTTTGTTCCTAGTATGAGAAAATTGGTAGGAATTTTGTGGACTAGGTTTTTATTTCAAGGGAAGAACCTTTTGGCTATTTCTAGAATTTGACCCCTAAAAATTTACACTAACCGTAGCTAAAGGAAAACAAATTTATTATTGTGGTTGCATGCAAATTTGTTGTTGAGAATAGAGGTCAACACGTTCCATTCCAGCCCCCTACTTTATTCTTTTGTTTCATCCTCTACCCTCCATCTTTTACAAAGTGCAGTTCCTTTCCCCTTCTTTTTCTTTCACTTTCTGTTGGGTTTATTACTTGATGTTTTTATGTCTTGTTGAAGTATGCTATGAGATAGCATTAGCAGAATTGTTGCTTGGACTGCTGAAGTTGCTCCAATACATTTGCCAATTTAGTTGTCATTGTGAGGCAATTGTAGCATATAATTTTTTTTCGCATGATAAAGCACAACCTTTTAGAGCAGAGTGATTTCTATTTCACACTCATTTTATCTGAAGAGAAGAAAATGAAGTTTCTTAACAGTGGGAGGTAATAAGTTAGAAAACAGTGGGAGTGTGTTTTCTTGATTTCCTAGATATTTGTACTTAGCTGAGAACCTTAGTCAAAACCAGTGTTAAGCATTGCATCTGAAGGTTATGAAAGATATGGTTGGGACTCTTTTGCATTTAGGCTAAGTAATTATCTAGAACCATTACGCATTATTGTTATCATTGGTCCTTCTATGAAATATTTAGGGGAGCTACTGATTTGATATAGTCAATATCTGTCTATCATGTTTTGTACATCTTTTGATCTATAGATCACTTTGAAACTGTCATTTTACTCAAAACATAATAAAGTCACTCTTGAGTGGAATCTCAAGAAGATAATTTGGTAATAAAGTAACTCTTGAAGGTATTGAAGAGAATTAAAACATAATGTCCATCAAATTTCGCAGACAAAATAAGGTGACGGGTTCTGTTAGATAACTACTCCATCTGTGGTTGCAATTTAGAATTTTATCTGGTTTCTGAGAAATTCTCTAGAGTGGAATCTCTGTCCCATTTTAAAATCATCTCCTTAATTGGTGCTCCTATGTGCTTGATTGAAGAGTTGATGTGTGAAAGAAATTTCTTTATTACATTATGCAGGATTTTGTAGTACATTGTTATTCAGCATATAGAAATTCACTGACATGGATAATTTTAGCTTCAATAAGAATGACCTTATCGGCATGTGAAACTATAAAGTTAAAGGTTTTCAAATTTCTTGTCATGCTCAGTTAAGAAAACAGAAATGTGTCTTTTTTCCCCATCTTTTGTCTTCTCTTCTTCCCTTAATATGTTAAAGATTTACTTCTTTGTCTCCTTGGCATGCTTTCTGTATGGTGAAATAATGTTCTTAACTTGTTGGCAATAATAATAGCATTTTATATTTTAATAATATATTTCAAATATGTCAAAGAGAATCAATCAGTTTCACAACATAATTGTAAATGGAACTTGAATTGGGGAAATTTATTATACATCATTACATTTGGCTTTGACTTGGTTTTAAATGCTTGAAATAGTAGACCTAAGATGTAAGTTGAAGATTTCTTTAAAATGTTTTTCATTCTTGATTTGGAATTTATCATGCGTTAGACTTTTATATCTGGGGGCAATATGTGATTAGCTTTGACTATTCACAGGAATCTCTAGAATTGAATGGCTACAAATTTTTACGTATCGATGGTACCACAAAAGCAAGTGATAGAGTGAAGATTGTTAATGTAAGTACTTTGCAGAAATTAGACTGATGATAAATTCTCTCTTAATGCCCATACGTTTGTGTCACATGATATTCACTTCTCTTTGAATTTCAGGATTTTCAAGACGGCACTGGGGCTCCTATATTTCTTCTGACATCTCAAGTTGGTGGTCTAGGCCTCACACTTACAAAAGCTGATCGTGTCATTGTGGTTGATCCTGCGTGGAACCCAAGGTTTTTTCTTAAGCTCTTCAATTTATTTGTTTCTAGGATTATTTGATTATACACTATTTAATTTTAGAAATGAAGAATTTGGTAGAGTTGAGGTATGTCTAATCACCAAGATAATGTGGGGGATATTTTTCTCTATTTCCAATTGAATATATATCTTACATTCTTATGGCATCTTTGCAACCTCGAGTCTTGTGCCAATTAGGTTTGATTCTGTCCTATTTAATTCTCTCTTCTGATTATCTATTTTTGTAATTCCATAATATGTGGAGAATATGCCATCTGCTAGACTGAGAGTTGATAAAGGAAGAAGCTAAGATGAAAACAAAAGGAGTACTAAAATGTTGGAGCGTGATTTTATTTCAGCACGGCAGTGAGGAAACAACTGCCATGTTAAAACAAAAAGGAGGGAAGGGGCTCATGTTCTTTGTAGAACCTTCCCAACCCAACCTTTGTTTATTTCAATGCTGGATAGCCCAAGTTGGGTATGTGGAGAAAATTTAACAATCTACTTACTTGGGGCTTCTTTTAGGCCTATGGTTAAAGTTTGTTAAAAGAAATAAGCTTGATATTCAAGTAACAGAATGGAGTTGCACCAAATTATTTGGTTCATTTCGATTCTTTCCATGCATGTGGCATGTGTTCATGTATAGTAATATTATTTTCTCAGAATTTGTCATGAAGGGGGATGAAAGAGCTGCAAAATCAATACTTTGTCTAAACTTTGCCTGCTGAAAGTTTGATCTGTATTTAAAGGTGCTGTAAGAAATACTACATTCAACACCCTCAATGTGTGGAGGGGAGACATTTTATTTTGCTAAATAATTTAATTTTTATTGTATTCTGTAATAAAAGAAGAAATGCCTGTTGTGTCCTGGGGAATACATAGGGTTGGTGGAGGTGAGAAGAGTGGGCATGTTAAGAACAATTGACGAAATGATGCAAAGTTCTTCATCTGATTTTAATAAACTGTTTTTTCTTTTCCCATATTTCTCCAGTCGTATATCACTTATTCTAGTTTTTTTGTTGTGAACAAACCATGCTGCTGTCCATCTGAAAAGTGTATCTTCTTCACCTAAACAATTTGTGCTTCTGTGGGACGGTCACTGTCATGTTTCAGGGTTAATAAAATATTTCATACTTTTGCAGCACGGATAACCAAAGTGTTGATCGTGCATATCGAATTGGGCAAAAGAAGGATGTTCTTGTGTACAGGTTGATGACCTGTGGAACTGTTGAAGAAAAGATATACAGAAAACAGGTTGAAGAGGACCTTGCATTTTTCTTGTTATTTACTGCCATGTAGATTATATTTCACATTACCTTTATGTTAAGTTGCTGGGACTCCCAGGTGGTTCCTGGGTAGTGGCCCATATTGCTGTTATTATTGTAACTGTGCATCAAGGAATCAATTTTCAATTTATCTGACAAAACAATAACTATTTTCAGAAAATATATTGAAACTTTGGATTCTAGTTTACATGTAGGATTTGCCATCCGTCTGGCCATGTAGCTGCAGTTCTCTCTTTGTTTTATCTTGGTGGTGTGTTAGCTAAAAGTCTGACCATTTGCACAAATTTACTTTTTTGGCAAAAATTTGTGATTTAGATATATAAGGGGGGATTGTTTAAGACTGCAACCGAGCACAAAGAACAGATTCGTTACTTTAGCCAGCAGGTATGCTTTAATAACAACTTCTTGTCTGGTGGAATTTAAAGCATGTAATACTTTGTTGATGTGTTATATACTTGTACTTATGTTTGAATATTGCTTTCAGGATCTTCGGGAACTTTTCAGTCTTCCTAAACAGGGGTTTGACATTTCACTCACCCAAAAGCAACTACATGAAGAGCATGATCGCCAACATAAAATGTACTGAACTAATTCTGTCTAACAGTGTGATTTGATGTTAAATATTATATTCTTTATTTGCTGATTTTTTTTTTTTTGCATTTGCAAAACTGTGCTATTCATATCTTAGTTTTGGTGGCAGTGAAGTAACACAAATTATAAGGGTAATGAAGCCAAAAGTATGATGAAATTTGACTCTTTCTGTTGTAGTGTTAATCAAGAACTACCTTCTACATGAACATTCTATAGTTTTCTACTTTTCTTGAATATAGAGTCCTGTGATGAAGTGTTCATTTTCCTGTTGGGATCAACTCAATCTTGTAATTGTTAATTGAGTTATTTCTTTGCTTTTTTATATATAGAAAATATTAGCAATTTTATGCAATGGTGTAGAGCAACATAACACTTGCTTGTTTGTAGATGCACATTGCAATTTTTGACTTTACAGTCTGTTTATATTACATTCATCTATTATGCGTTCTTCTTTCTCTATATTTTGATTTTTGTTATTGTTCTTACAGGGACGAGTCATTGGAAACCCACATAAAATTTCTAGAAACACTGGGAATAGCAGGAGTTAGTCATCACAGTTTACTTTTCTCTAAAACAGCACCTGTACAAGTTGTACAAGAAGATGAAGACATATGGTAAAAACTCTGCCTCTTTTTTTCTCCCTACTGCCTTCTGATTCAATTGATGTACTTAGCTTCATGTGTTATAGAATGATACTGTTGTCCATTAAAATTATAACCATTTCAAACATGAACCGAACTTTATCTTAATTGTGGAATCAGGAGAAAAGGAACTACAGCTGTGGGACATTCATCTTCAAGCTCTTCAGTTGAGCGTAATATTGATGGGTACTTCTAGTGATCATCATTTATATTCGGGATATAATCTGCACCTGTCTGGAATGTTGTAGTAATTGCTCACATGTTTGACAGGGCTGAATATGCTTTCAAGCCAAAGGATATCAGACTGAGTAGGAAAATCTCTTCCCCCGAGAATGCAGCTAAATTAACTGAGAGTGAAATTAAAGAGAGAATTAATCGGTTGTCTCAAATATTTTCTAACAAGGTATGATTTTGAATGAAATTTCTTCATTGAGTTATAATGTTGTACATAACAATCTTGTGGGCATTGCTTTCTTGAATTATTAGTGGTATTGGCCAGCAGCAAGCAGTTAGGCAGTTCAGTTGATGCCACATTTCAGGGTTAAATAATGCAAACCAATCTAAAGTTTTACGATGGCTGGGTTCTCTTTCTCGGAAGTTTTTGTCTGATTTTCTGGTTGGGTTTGTTTGTAAAATTATATTTGGATCCTACTCCAAGTGATTTATCTATCAATTCATGTAATATTTTCTTAGGTTTTGTTGTTTTTGTGTGAACAATAATAGATCTTCAGCTCAAAGCAGTGCCATTTACAGCTAATTCAGACATTGGTGTTTAGGTTAATCTAATTGTGTGATTTAAGGAAATGTTCAAGCTAGTCAACATGAATCACTGTTAAAGCCTGCAAAACTTGTGTCAATAATCTCAGTTCAAGTCTTAGAAGTAGGCAAGCAATGAAATCATATTTGTTTTTCATTACCCGTCAGTTTTATATCAATATCTGAAGATACCTCGGGTCGAAAGTATTTTGATTTTGCATAACCTCTACTTTTATATCAATCTCTGAAGGCCTAGCTCTTGTTTTAATGTTCCAAATTTGTCGACAGGTTACTGTTTCAAGGTTACCTGATAAGGGAGCAAAGATAGAGAAGCAGATTGCTGAACTGAATGAAGAGCTCCACAAGATGAAGATGGAAAAGGAAGCTAAAGATGAAGCAGGTGTAGATGACATAACTGGAGAACTCCAAAGAGTGTTGAATGTATAGGAGCTCAGGGAAATGCTTGGCTATCCGAATTTTTTGCCAAGTCCGAATCTAGTCCGACCTGATTGTGGTGGAAATAGTTAAATGGATGTCTTTGTGGGTAGACTTTATCTCTTATAAAAAATGCCCTTCTTATGTACACAAGAAATCAAGGATATCAAAATTATAAACTGATAATTTATATGCCTTAATGCGAAATATCATATGCTTTCATTTTGCTTGCAATGTACCAATTTACTTACAAGTTTAGCTCTCGTTTCTCTTTATGCAAGGCATATCTTGTCATATTTTTGTTGTACAATAGTGAAATTGGTTTGCTTGCAAAGTTAACACAATTATTATGTTATGGTTAAAGAAATGATATAATCTTTGAAAAATTTAAATAATTTTTTAATTTTTAATTTTAATTTAATTTTATGTTTTTATTTTAAATCAATTAAGTTTTATTAATAAAAATGTTATTTGTTATTTTTTATATTATATAATCTTGATGTGGATGAATAAAAGTATCATATAATTATGTTATTATATTACATTAACATGTTATGTTATAATTTATTAAGATATATTTAAAAAATAATAATTTATTAAGATATATTTAAAAAATAATAATTTATTAAGATATATTAACACGTTATATTAACATCACACAATATGAAATATTAATTAATAAAAATTAATTTAATTTAAATAAATATATAAAATTTTTATGAAATATGATAAAAGAATTACAATTTAATTAAAATTTTTTAAACATTATACTTAAAGAAATTAATGAATGAGCACATAAACAACTCAAAATGTCAAAATCCGAAAGGATTCAATTTCGCGCGTGACCCGACCCGGCGGTGTAATTTTTTATTTTTATTTTCAGGTGACGGAAAGAGCCCGCACGCGCGCACGCGCGCCAATTTTTTTCTTGTAATTACGGTTTTGCCCTTTTGGTTTTAAACGCTTTTTTTTTTCTTTTGTTTTCTTTTGATCCTTCAAATTCTCTCCTGGCTCTCTCTCGCTATCTCTCAACCATTTTTTCTCAAATGTTTTAAAAGGTAATTGTAATCTTTCTCTCTCTTTCTCATCGTCTTTAAACATTATTCTCTCATTTATAAAATGAATTTTATATACTCATATGACAAATTATGATCTTAACCTATGAGAATCCTTTTTTTAATTAATAATTTTTGTCTGTTCAAAATTAAGAATCTTGTTAGATTCAATCTTTCATCTCTTTGAAATTTTCAAATCAATTGTTTATGATTTTGGTGCCATGTTATTTTTCAGGTTTGGATTCGTCGGATGAGGTGAAATAAGGAAAAAGCTGAATTTGGGAGGTTCAATCGAAACAATCGGTATTATTTGAAAGAATTTAATTTGAAGAGAGTGTAATAAGTAAACTAATTTCAAAATGGAGTCATCCTCGTCGTCGAATCAAACGGAGTTCGATTACTTGTTCAAGTTGCTGATGATAGGAGATTCAGGAGTTGGAAAAAGTAGTCTTCTTTTAAGTTTCACCTCTGATTCCTTTGAGGAACTCTCTCCCACTATTGGTTAGTATTCTTTTTTAACTGTATTCATTCAATCTGTTCTTTTTTTTTTTTAATGTATTGTGATTTCTAATGGCATTGTCTTGATCTCTGTAACTCAAGATATGTAGGCTTGTTTGGTTGTTGCTTTTGTTATTTGTTCTTTCTTTTCAAAGCAAAAAGTGGGTTAACAAACGCTACTTTTGAAAGAAAATTTAAAATATAATTTTTTTGTAGAGCAAAATGCTTGATTTAACTACAAGTATATGAGAATTGATGGTTGCTTGTTTTACTTGCATTTTACCTTTTGTGTGTGTGTGTGTGTGTGTGTGTAGAGAGCATAATCATAATTGCTTAAAAATAAGTGAACTAATACAATGTAATTTCCATTTTTAACATAAATTTACTATACAAAAGTAAATTCAAGCATTTTGTTCACCTAACCAACACTGCATTTTGATTTTCAGATTCTTCATAGAAATATTGCTTCCTTTGCTTTCCATATTTGCATTGTCCTGTTTGGCTTTTGTTGGAAACAAAAAGCAAGAAGTAAAAGCAACAATCAAATGTTGCTTATATTGATGATGCAAAATTATCAAAATGGTTAAGTCTAGAGCTTCAAATACTAAATTTTAGTTCCTGTTGGGTCTCAAATGTTGGATTTTCTGCTCAAAATTCTGAACCTTATATTTTATAGTTTTGTCAGCAATGTAGTGGAGATTTATATTCTCTTTTTTTTTCTTTAGATTTTTTGTATTATAAAAAAGAAAAGAAAATGTGATGACTGAACAGTAAGTGGAATCTTCTTTTGTCTGAAATCAAATATGTGCTGGTGAATCTTAAAACTTGATTTTGATCACAAGCAATGCAATTACTGTAACATACAACGTGTGAAATCTTATGCCCATCAAACTGATAACACAAATAATTAATCTGCTTACCCATCTTGTGTCCTGATTTACAACTCTACTTGTTTTGTTATGTAGGTGTTGATTTTAAGGTAAAATATGTGAATGCTGGGGGTAAGAAGCTGAAACTTGCAATCTGGGATACAGGTAAAACCTAAAGTTTGCTAATGAGTTATTTCTTTTCTTTTCTTTTTAATTTAATTTATTTTAAATATCCCTATATGATTGTAGTGCGTTTTTTATGATTGCTGGATTCTCTACTTTTGTGCTTTATAACTTGATATTCTCATCAATTACATTAGACTTCACTTGTTTTTTTTAGCCCTCGTAGAAAATTTTCATGTCAGATTGACATCATCAACCTTGTTGATTGGACTACTTTTCTTGCTTTCTTTCCCTCTTAGTTTATCACCTGTAACTTATCAAATTTTTGATGAGCTTCTCTGGAATGTATTCCTGTTGTTTTACTGTTCAAACCACAAGCTCTCAGCTAACCCGTATTTGGTGAGTGCAAAGGTATTTTAGAAGAATAGGGAACGATTATGTTAAGTGGAGGTGCTAGTAGAGAATGACTAGGGTTTTCTCATAGCCTACTGACAATCAGTTTATCAAATCAAATATTAACCTCAGATTGGTTGCCTCTGAGAGTTTGAGTTTAGTTAGGGAAGTTGGTATGCTACATCAAGATTTATGTTATGAAGACGCGAAGTATGTTAAATTTTATCCTTTGCATTTCCCTCACGTAGAGCTTATTCCATTGGTGGCATTCATTTTTCTTTCACACGCAAAATTGGTATGCTTTTGTAGTTTTTTGAAAGTGAAGGCCAAGTAGCAAAAAGGCACTGTATGCCCTCATATTGGTCTTGGTCATGATCAAATCTTAAGAATCTGTGGGCTGGGACGGACAATTGCATATATGGAGCTGAGCCCTGTGTTTGCATTAAAAACAACACCGTAAGGCCTGGAGGATTTTTGAACCAGTTGCACTTTTAATGGAAAGAAATTTTTCTACCTTGGAACAATTTTGGTTTGTTCCTCATTTTTTTCCCCACAGAACCATTGAATTGAGATGCAAGCACCTGCTTAGTGGACATACTTGTGTTAGAAGCAAGTTATCCGGTAATTGTTGTATCAGTCTTTGCATCATCTAGTTTGGCTAGACCTGCTTGTTAGAATTAGATTACCCAATTTGGCCTTTAGTGCTTGAGCTTATTGCTATGAGAATCGTTATTGATCTCAGTATCTGCTTTGTGATGCAAATCAGTTGTGGATGATCATATTTTTCAATTTTTATTGCATATGACTTGATCCATGTAGGGGAAACTTATCTATGTTGAATGTGTTGAATATGCAGCTGGGCAGGAAAGATTCAGAACATTGACAAGTTCTTACTACAGAGGGGCACAAGGGGTCATTTTGGGTAATTATTTTTCCTCTTTTAACATGTGTAGCAATGCCCCTCTTACTAATACTGTGCCCTTTATTCTTTATTTTCTTGGGAAAATTCCTGCTTTGATTCCTCATTACGGAAGATCTTTTTGTTAAAAACTGTGGAAGTGAAACAAGCACTGTTTTGCCTCTAATGTAATTTTCTTTCATTGTTAGCCTTCTTTCTCTCTCTCTCTCTCTGTCTCTCCCCCCTCGCCCCTCCCTTCAAAAAAAAAAAGAAAGAAAGAAAGAAAGAAAACAACAAAAGAACATATGTTATTGGTGTTCCTCTGTATACAGTGGAGACAGTGAGAATGAACTGACTTGAAACCATGAAACTGTTAAGTGGGTGAAGTCGTGCTTATGTCAACTTAAAATGCACCTTTTCTCTTGTTTGGGTTTTTGTGTTAGCTAGCATGTTTACATTTGGCCTTGGCCTGGTTTAAGTGATTGGTTGTTCTCATTTTCCTTTCATCTATATAAGTTTTGGCGTACCTTTTCTCATAATCAGCTTAGAATTTAGATGAGTAACATCAGATTTCAAGTCTAAGCTCAGTAAGTGTGCAGTGATATGTTGTTTGGCAGTTAGATCAGTGATATTTTTTATGGCATAGTAATCATTGTCTGCTCTTAACTTGTTCGGAGAATCACAATATCGTTTCCTCCAATGCAACAGTTTATGATGTAACACGGAGGGACACATTTACGAATCTTTCTGAAGTCTGGGCCAAGGAAATCGAACTCTACTCAACAAATCAAGACTGCATCAAGATGCTTGTTGGAAACAAAGTTGACAAGGTAACTTTACAGAGATCTATGAATACTAATGTTTCCTTGCTTCATTATGATGTTTAGTCTGGGTTCCAAATGAGTTCTCGGTTTAGCAATTTGTTTTAGGTTCTCGCTCTCTCCTTAGCCATTCTTTCCCAGCAATTTGTCTCTTCTGATACATGGTTGTTGTTCTTGTCTATAACTCCAATGGAAAAGCAAATTAAGTAATTCTTTTACCATTTTGCGTCTTGGTGAGGGATGTGAATTGTCTGTATTGTTGTAGTTCATCAATAGACTCACATTTGCACCATGTTTGGTAAGAAGGAAAGAGGAAGGAAAGAAAGGGAGTGGAAGAAAATTAGTGTTTCTTTCCTTCCCTTCCTTTGTTCATTACGAGGGCAATAGGAGTAGGGAATGAAAATGGATGGATTTGCACCTTTCCTTTCCCTCCAATCTAATTCTTTCAAATTGGATGGAATAGACTCTTTCTACTTAAGTTAATCATTTTATTTACAATTTTACCCCTAGTCTCTTTCTTTCCCTCTATTTTCCATCTTTCATACCAAATGCAAGAAAGGAAAAGCAAATTTTCTTCCTCTTCTTATTTTTTTTTCCCTTTCCTCCATTTTCCTTCTTTTCTAGGAAACATAGTGTTATTGTAAAAACTGAACTTCATAAGAGCAGTATGTTCAATCAGATAGTTATATGATATAATTGTAAGTTTTTTCTTATATTTGGAGCTACCATAGCTTTATGTCCATATCCTATTTGAATTTTTTGATGTGTCCAGTATGGGCGTGTTATGAAAAAAAAAAATTAAGAGTTGAAGTCAGGGTATGATGAAGATCAGTGGTGAGTTGGTGGCACCTTGTAGTTCATCTGAAGGAAACCATGAAATGGTCACTGTAGTCTTAATGATGCAGGACAATAACATGCTTATTTAAGATTTCTTTTATTAAGTTTGTATATTTTTATGGTTTCAATTATAACGTTTAGTATTTAGGGAAGTATCATGGCATTCATGGTTACGTTTGGTATTTCATATTTGTCTTAACATTTATGGTGTACTTTATAAGTGCTTGTGATATTCCAGTTTCAAGTAACTTTTGATATTATGAATTTCTAAGATTTGAGCTATTGGAATTGGTTTCTCTCTTTCTGTCCCCTCTATTTACTCTTTGTTTTGCCTTTCTTTCTAATTTATTCTCTCTCTCTTTCCCTCCCTTTGTTCTGCAACCAACATCACAATTATTTTCCATCTGCTGTCTGAGATTATTCCTTATATCTGTATCATTAAATGCTTTTCAGGAAAGTGAGAGGGTTGTGACAAAGAAGGAGGGAATAAACTTTGCTAGAGAATATGGTTGCCTTTTCATTGAATGCAGTGCTAAAACGCGTATTAACGTACAACAATGCTTTGAAGAGCTTGTTTTGAAGGTATTGAAATTAACTGCTATTTTGTTCTGACATTTACGTCTTGGTGCCGGAAACAAATTGCAGCATGCATGTGGGCTATAGAGTGCAACTGTATCAAGATAGTTTAGGCTGATATTTTTAGGGTTGTTGGACTCTTGATTGCTCTTTTATATCCTTCAAGGAATGGAATGATGGCATGAACCCTACATTGACAATGAGATGACATTCTTATGCAGATTCTAGATACTCCTAGCCTTTTAGCTGAGGGCTCCAAAGGTGTCAAAAAGAACATCTTTAAACAGAAGCCGCCTCAACCAGATGCATCCACAAGCAGTTGTTGCTGATATTATGATTCTTTAATTTACACTCCCGAATCTCTAACCAGAGTGAGGTGGTTCTCCCAGTTCTGACTCACAATTATTTACGGCCCATGTAATCTCTTTGATATGAAACATACCGTCCATGTAATATAGCATTGTTTGAGAATCCAGTTTACTTTTCCTGTCATCTTGGGTAGAAGTCTGCCTTATCTGGTCGTTGTTAACTTTGAACTTTTGAATTAACTATGTGATGCAATTTACAGTGATGTATTATGTTATTTTGGTTGATCACAGGCAGCCCTGCAGTTTGTACTTTGGTAGAACAGCTCTTCGATGATCGTCAATCGACCTGGTTGAGTATGTTAAATAATCCTATTTTATTATACGGTAAATTCTATATGGACTGCTTGTGTTCTTACATTTTCTGACAGTATACCTTAAGGATATTTTTTTTTCAAATGAAACCTTGTGCTTTACAAATGTTATCTAAGATTAACGGTGTTAAATTTTAAACTAAATTTTAATAAAAGGACAATAAAATCTTTATATTTAAAAATCCTATTTCTTGCATTTAATCATAAATTGTTAAATTCTTTTTCACGCTCGATTTTAATCAAAGAATCCATACTAAAAAAAAATATTCTAAGAAGATGAATGCTGGTATTGACATAACTATTAAAATATTTTTAAAATAATAAAATTATTACTAATATTAAAAGCTATATTAACACCAATATTTGTTACTAAAATTTGGAAAATTATAATATTTTTTAATACACAATCTTGAATGACGTATCATAAATCTATTTTTTTTTTTTTAATATGATTCAAACTCAAAGCTTCCAAATTAGAATGTGAAGTTCTATCCTTCAATATGTTTTCTTCTCAAGGACATTCTTCCTAAGGACATGCAAATTCAAATGTTAGTATAAGATAATACTATATCAATTAATTAGTTAAAAATTAAAATTGTCATAATTTATGTAATTAAAGAGTCTTTAAATTGGTAAGAATGGATTCTACCATTAGAAATAATGGTACCTAAGTAAACTTATAAAATAAAAAAAATAACTAAGTAAATCTATGGTAAATAGAATAATATTTCAATCATCTTAACACGCCATGAACTGACCTAGTACCTTAAAACTTAAGTCTGAAATAATGTCATGCAAGAAAGAAACTAAAGGAAATTAAGGCCTATAGTTCCTAAATTCTAGATCCTGATTCCTAACGCTTATAGATCAAAAAATTGAGAGGAAAAATCGAAATTGTAGGAGACACTTGGAAGTTTGTCCATTGAACGGAATGAACGGAACGGAGGTATGGATGATGGTAATGGGTCCAGTACTGTCATCTGCTGCATCAAATTCTCATCATAATAATCAGAAATGCTGTTCGGAAACATTGCAGAATTTTGCTCCAACATGGAATCATCATAGAAACTTCCCAGAGAGGTAGCAAGTCCTTTGAAAGGACCACCATGCTCTTCCAACTCATGATCATGTCCCAATTCACTGAAAGCCATGAATCCTTGTGGAAACCCATCTGCTGTTTCACCCAATATATACTCTGGAACCTCTCTCTCCAACTCAACAGCCTTGTTCTCTGATTCAGGTTGAACCTCACTGTCCGACTCTTGGTTTTGGGTACCAGCAGCCTGCCGAGAACTCGAACTTCTCATAGATTTATCCATCTTTTTATAAATTTTGCATAGCACCCAATCATCCAGCTGCAAGAAATTCAATAAAATAGAATATTTGTACCACAAAGGGAAGAAAAAAACTGATATGTGCTTATATATTTGGCATATCCATTTGATCTTAATTATATTTTGAATTGATTAAAGTTTTCTGTTTTAGATTTAATTTATGTCTTTAATTAGGTCACATTAATCCTGTTCATATCAAATAAGGTAAAATGAAATGATAGTAGTAAAGAAGAGAAATAAGTAATTACTCGCATATCATCTTTGTTAAGATTGGATATTTTTGGAGGATCTTTGAGTCGGAATTCATGCATCATCCAATCAGTCTTTTGTCCCTTGGGTGGTTTCCCTATGTAGAAAACCAAGGCCTTCCGATATCCAACTTCAACCCCTTGGAACTTAAGCAATCTGTCTGCTCCCGTGGCTTTCCAATATCCATCGCCAGCTGCTCGCCTTGGTCGAGACCCATTCCTATATTTTTTGTCTCTCGGTGTGAAAAAGTACCATTCTCCTTCCCCATATGACTTACTATGCTCTATGAATTACCAAACATTACTTTGATAAATCTAACCTTATCTCGAGGTATATAAGCTTTAAAAAATAAAACTAACTTCAATCTCAGGAATAAATATGATAAAATCAACATTATCAATATCTACGAAAAAAATGTTAATAGAGATTAAAATCATAATTAAAAATATAATTAAGTTAAATAAACCAACATCGATAGTAAAATTTTATCAGATGTACACATCGAATGTGAACTTAAATAGTTAAATAATTACAACTATATAATTATCAAGTATGAAAGAATGACTAGACCAAAGGCTAATTACACTCTTTATTAGAATCATGATAGATAAATAATTCTCATGCGTTGGAACCAGAAAACAAAGTTCAATCACAACTGAAGGAGAAGTGGGCTTAGCATGTTAAAGATCTAGACACGTAAACAACCCTTTTTAAGTAATCGCTGCCCTAAGAATTAACCTGGAAATGCTGAAAACCATTAGGAATAAGCAGAATATAGGAGAGAGAGAACACAGCATTTGAACAATAAATTTCCATCCAACTAGTTTACTCTATTCAACAATTATAAATTATGTAAAGATGAGAAATGAAGAAAGGGTAGGTATGTACCGACGAGGATCTCAGGATTGTACTTGTACAATTGAACCTCCTTGATCCTGTTGGGTGGTAATGGCTTGTTGAACAGCTTATTCTTCAAGTAATGAACGACGAGTTCTTCATCACGAGGCTTGAAGCGATACCCTGGCGGGAACGATTTAAAGAATTTTTCAACGTCTTCTGGGAGCTGGCTTTTGCATGGAAGAGACATTGCATGCGGAGTGGAAAACGAAGGAAAGATCAGTTAACCATTCCTACTCTAAATCAAAAGTTTAACAGTTGAAGTAGTATTTGATAAGGTAAGTGATAGGCGCAAATATAGAAATATAAATATGGGTTTAATAGGATGTCTATTACTTTTAAAGTGAAATAGACTTGGATAACTATGACTACTTATGTGGGCAAATCCTATCCCTATTATTTCTCACAAGAGAAAGAAATCTAGGATTGAGTATAACGCATATCTAGGGTAATGTTTTTTTTTATCTTTTTACAAGAAAATCGGAAAATGGTCCAACTCCATTGTGAAGGGCAAAACTTAAGTTAATTATCTCAAGGAATGAACAAGATTGAAATGATTAATTTTTGAATTTTATAAATCTTAAAATTTGGGCCGGTCATGATACCTATTATGTAGTGTTAAGATAATTTATCTATTTTTAAGTCATATAAGATTAAACTTATATACATCCTTCCTAACTTTTGCTTTATCTTTGTTTTTTTAAAAAAAAAAAACAAAAGAAGATAAAGATTAGTAAGATCCATATAGGTTGAATTGCTTGATTCATATAGAATCTCATATTTTTATACCGTATTCTAGAAGATTGCACTAGGGTAAAAAATTAGCCTTTCTCGGAGGTCAATTGTTAAGGTAAAATATTCCTTTTTAGGAGATCAATTGTTGTATTGATTATGAAATAGTTGTAAAGGCATAAACAATAATTGAGGAAGTCCATGCATTTCTTTAAGCGTTTGGGTTCTATGAAAATTATTTGTTTGCTCTGATCAAAATCAATTTCAGTATATGCAAAATTTCTACAAAGCATCTACTTGTTTAGTTCTAATTTGTTTGGCCTGGGATTTCTAATTTGTTTAGTTCTAATTTTTTGTACAGCATTACATGGACTATTAAGTATCATATGTTGTTACTTCTGGTCACAAAAAAATTTGCCACAGTTAAGCAATTTCGCTAATTCATTGCCAGCATTGTAGTTATATACATTAATTATAAAAGAAGATGTTTTACCGTTATAAAAGAGACCACATTCATGCAAAGAAGTACAATAGTTATATTCATAATAAAATAAATACAAGTTGAATGACTGTAGGAGAGCTGGATTTGAATATTCTCGATCAAGTAGCTTAGAGATCCGGCTGGATCACAGCCAGGATGACATCCACAACCCGGAATTGGCATTCAAACCTGAAATACACTCACCTGAATGCCAATGCCTGATATGTATTAAGTTATAATAATCCTCATGTTCTCCCATAAAGGTCGTTTGTAGCATCATGCCAGAAGAAAAATAGAGAAATACCAAAAAATATCGATGAAGACTCCTGGAACTCTTCAAGTGCATTAGGATGTAGTTGTTTAGATGCATGGCTACATGTAGATACTACAGATACTCGATGAATTAGCTGAACTGATGAATCTCTAAATAAATTTTAATTGATGACATTCGAAGATATGTTAAAGGCTGTGCTTGTAATTACTCAAGACAATTATATTTTCTCTCCTTCTCATATTCACACAATTCACCTAGCATAGAATAACTTTACTGCCTCTCCCATGCCTGTTTCTGATGAAGTTTGTATTGGGTCTTCTGTTGCTAGCTGAATTGAATACTGCTTTTTCCGATCCATCTTCTTTACCTTCACAATCATCTCGAAACAGTAAACTATTTGGATGTTTATCAAACATCCTACCCATTATGTTATTTCTTTTCATCATTTTTCTCAATCTCATGCAGCCTTCACTACTTCTCTAAAACAATATTCCGAACCTACCAGCTATCATCAGTCAATCAGACATCCTTATTGTCAAGCAACCATGAAAGCTGAAATCGAAGCTTTAGAAAGTAACAGGACATGTCCGTTCTACCTCTTCTTCGTGATGCACACACCATTGGTGCACAACATTGATTGCAAGTGAGTCTGATAAAGTTAAACTAAAATCAAATGGGAGTTTGAGACATAAAGGCTAGACATAAAGTTATAGTCGATAACAGGGTTTTGATTATCATGAGATTTTTAGCTCAGTGACTAAACAAGCTACTATTCAAGCTTTTTTAACACTACCAGCGATTAAATGTTGGTTTTCGGGTTATTTTAGCATTAGCAGTGATCAAAGATTGGTTTTTGAGTCCATTTGATATTGATAATATTTATTTGAATGGTCATGAAAACCATTTACATGGATTTTCCCGAAAGGGCATATGTTTTCCATTGGAAGAACATTGAGTGGTGACGAGTTGACAGAGTTTTGACCGAATTGACGGGTGGGTCGAATTTTGAGTGGCGTCGAGTTGGTGGAGCTTTGACCGAATTGACAAGTGGGTCGGGCTTTATATTCCGAGTGAAAGCTGACTGGTTACACTTGACACAAAAATTTCCACAGTGATTATTTGCACCCAATTTAGATCTTCTAGCAATCGTGTTGGATCAATTTCTACCAGAAAAAATCCGGATGAGTTAGAACTTAAACTCGCCGCAGTTGTTGTCATCGAAGATTTTATATCTTCATGTGGATAAAATTGATTCCTTTTAGATTTTATATCTTTGATTTATTTATTATATACTTTTTGAATTTCTTTAAAGACATATAATAATTTTAGAAAGATTTGGTTTTCTATTGTGTATTGAATACGGTAACTTGCATTACTTAAAATATTATTTTATATAAAGATTTTATCTCTTATTTGATTTTGATAAATTGAAAAATGTTAGGATTTTATTCGATAACCTTTAATCTTATAATAAATGTATATGATTATAGAACACGTTGGAATTTGCATACAATTTTAGCTGGATGACATCTTATTAATCAATATTGGCCTAAATTTTGTTTGTGGCTCTAAACGAATGTTTAAAAAATAATAAAAGAAAAAAAAAAGCATCAAAAACCCAACTGCCAAAACTTTGGCATGATAAGGAAACAGAACAGAGGAGGCAATGGGTGCATGCAAATCACCAATGTTCCATCTCCTCTCCTCATCAAATCCCAACACTGAAACCCTCACAAACCCTTTGTTAAACCCTGAAACCACCACCAGGCGCTTCCTTCTCTTCTCACTCCCTCTTTCCACTGTTTCCACTCTTATCATCCTTCCAAGCAGTACCCCTGGCACTGGAGGTTGCAGTAGTAAGCTTGAGCCCAGCTTCATGGGTGCTTTAGCTGCGAGTTTTGACCCGGTGAGCCAGGCTGACAGAGACGCCAGCGCTGTCATTACCCGGAGAGTATCTGAAGCTGTAGAGTTGTTGGAGAGAGGGAAGGAGTTGCAGGCTCAGGGTGACTTCCCCAAAGCTCTTCAAATCTTTACCACGGTACCCTTTAAAATGAATTGTTGTATAAAAAATATTTGGCTTCGTTTTGTTGGGCTTGCACTCATACTTTAGATAATATCTGGATTGTGATAGTGTGCATGCTTCAATTTTCTATAATCACAAAATTCTTCCTAATTTGCGTAATATATAAATGAAATCCATTATATAGTCATGTTGTTAGAACTTAAACATAATTGGATAGTTTACTAGCTTAAGCTGCATTTGGTATAATTGGCCACCCAACTATCCTTTTCATTAAGGCTTTTTAAATTGCAATATCATAGTGACAGATTTTGACTCAACATGGTTTTTGTACAGTTGCAACCATTTTTCTTCTTTATTTCTAATTGTTTTCTTGAAGTTTTTTGGTCTCAATTCAAAGAATTGGAAATGATGATGTCCTTTCCAATCACAATCATGACCCTTGATTTATTTTGTGTGTTTGAGATTAAATTTACGTGCGATATGCTCTCATCTATTTCGTCATGTTTATGTATTTACAATTCAGATCATTCAACTTTAGTGATAAACATGAATATTGGTATTAAGCTTCTTCATTTGCCAAGATACTCCTTAGCATCTTCTATGCTTCAATTTAGTTCCAGAATTTGTATGCCATGACCATCCGACAATATTTGCATGGAACTAAGAATTTGCATATAGTTAAGAGAAAGTGATATGGAGAATGTAAATGTTCATCAGAGGAAAGAGTGTTTTCAAACGGTTTCCTTTGCAGGATTTACTGTGATTCCAATAGAATTTACTCATTTTAATCATTTGCCTCCTATTATGGGTGATTCAAGCATCATTTCTCCCTCTTGTTCTTCTTTCAACCTTTCTAAACAAAAGAGAAAAGAAAGAGAATAATTGAGATTGAAACAACAAACTAAAAGATTTTCATACTATTCCCACCTCTTAGCCTGATAATTTGTTTATGGAGGCAATTTATTGACTGGGATATTTATATTCTAGAATGGAAACTAATTCATTCCACCAATCAAAAAGATGCCTGAGCATGGTGCTTCCCATTAAAGGTAATCCTGATGTGGTTAATTTCATTTAAATGTCATAACAAAGAAAGTAGATATTTTAATTCTGTTTTCATAAGGCGTCTCTTTCCTTGCATACTTCATTTCGTTGGACATGGTATTTAATCCTTTTGATTCCGCTATACAAAAATCTGCTGCAGAGGATATGAAGAAACCAATCATGCTACATGCATATCTGAATACTTATTATTTTTTGCACTTAAGATGTGTATGCAGTTAGACAACATGCTTGTGCTTGTGAAGTTGTGATGCAGAGTATGTGAATAAATTTTCACCACTCCCTTCACTTCTAAATCTGCTTTCAGGTGGTTGAAAATTATAAAGATTTTGCATTCTCAGACTATGCAAGAGTTGGTAGGGCATTGGCCTTATATGAGGTTGGGGACAGAGAGGAAGCTATTGCAGAGATGGAGGATGTTTCAATATCTTTAAAGGGATATCCAGGTACTTTCAAAGTGTTGGAGTTCACAGGCTATTGACAATTAGGAACTTTTCTCATTTAATATGTTTGTTTTTCCTACAGAAGTACATGCTGCTCTTGCAGCAGCCTTATATGTGGACAAACATGCACCACTGCTAGCAGAAAATCAGTTTGCGATTGCAACTCTACTTGATCCTCACTTTACAGATATCTCATACGTTGTAGAAACAAAGCATTGGCCTCCAAGTTTGGTTAGTTCTTTGCAACACTTCATCACACTTTCGTAGGGGTTCTTGTTATATATCAGTACATGCCTAGTTATCAATCTCAAATATATTTGATAAATTGTTATCAAGAATAACCTTTTTCTGGTTTGAAGTTTTATACTAAGATAAATCAGTATTGTAATATTTCATTACTTTATGGTTTTGGTGAAAATCATACATGAGAATAAACGCATTCAGCTGATACATGCTCTTTCCACTGGTTCTTTTGGCTAATGCTTTCATCTGTTGAGGGCAAGGGACGAAACATGTAATTTTATTACCATGTTAAAAGGTGCAGACTGGAGATGTTGAGATTCTTTAATTTTTTTCTTCCTTGTAGCTTCTAATTGTCTTTGGTTCTACCAGCTTTCCTTTTTTAAACTGCAAGGCTTTGTCATGACTGAGCAATGAAATTATAAGAATTGCATTCTTTCTCGTCATGATCAAGCTAAATATAATATAATTTCATTGCGCCCTTTATTTTTATTTTTATTTTTGATTCTTTGTCCCTTTGAATTATCCATAATTGATATGCTCCTGAACCGCCTTTCTTGTTTCCCACTCGAATAATAGAAGATAGGAACCAAATTTACTAGTGAAGGTTTCGGTGATCAGACTGTTGATGCATCATTTGGTTGATGCCAGTCCATTGCTTGGCTTTGTATGGACTCTGTTCCATCACAATGGTGTTACAAAAGTTTGATTAGAAATCCTTGAATCCTTCCAATAGCAAGAATCTTTATGGCTTTTTTAAGTAGAGAGAATCAGGGAATCAGGTTAATTG